AAGCTACTCTCTGGGAAACATCTGGGTAGTAAAAGTGGTAGAACAATGGGAGAGAAATTGTTCTGAGTTGGGAAGATCACAGTCTCTCTGCTCCTAAGCTGCAGATGTCTGCCATCTGCGTTCTCCATCCCCTGCAGCCACCTCCCGCCCGCATTCAGAGCTGTTGATAGTAGGCAGATGAGTGGGGGCATTCCCACTGGAGAGGGAACGAGAGTTGCATCTTCTAGAATTTGATCACTGCAGGTCATCTAGTAGAATTAGGAGTAAAAATGCAATAGCCGTCTGACCCAGTGTCACCCAGGTAGAGGTCATGGGGGACCAGAAAGAACCCTTAGCCCAGCACCATTGACAGCAGGAAGTGATCTGCTAGTCAGGGCACTTGGACCTGCAGCTGCCCAGAACCTACCAGGAGGATGAAAGAAGCCCATCTAGATACAACAGAAATTTGAGCCTGTCCGCTTTTGATCTGGGGCCTCCACAACAGTAGCTTTGAAGGAATATGTATATCTGTGTGGATGTATGTGTGACCAAAACATAGGTTTCACAGAACACTTCTTTTGTGGGATGCCCTCTGATTTTTAAAAAAATGATCTTTACCTTTGTAAAATACGTGTCACAGCCCAATAACTTGATTTCATAATTATATTGTGACTAATGGGTCACGATAGTTGAAAACACTGTTCTGTTGTATAATATTGTGGGAACTTTGGTAGTTCTTCCCAAATCAACACCCTACTTTTACCTGATGTCACATCTTACTAAGTTAGTTCTGTCTTTAGATTACGTTATCATCTACTAATTGTAGAGAGTTCTTGGCATGGAATGGGGTAGGCGATCTGGCCAATATGCAGTTCCAAGTTAAAGCAAGAACCCCTTCATGCATTTTTTTTTTTTTTTTTTCCTTGCGTTATGCGGGCCTCTCACTGTTGTGGCCTCTCCCATTTGCGGAGCACAGGCTCCGGACGCGCAGGCTCAGCGGCCATGGCCCACGGGCCCAGCCGCTCCGCGGCATGTGGGATCTTCCCGAAACGGGGCACGAACCCGCGTCTCCTGCATCGGCAGGCGGACTCTCAAGCACTGCGCCACCAGGGAAGCCCTCTTCATGCATTATTAAAGAGTGGTTGCTGGGGCTTCCCTGGTTGCGCAGTGGTTGAGAGTCCACCTGCCGATGCAGGGGACACGGGGTCGTGCCCCGGTCCGGGAAGATCCCACATGCCGCGGAGCGGCTGGGCCCGTGAGCCATGGCCGCTGAGCCTGCGCGTCCGGAGCCTGTGCTCCGCAACGGGAGAGGCCACAACAGTGAGAGGCCCGCGTACCGCAAAAAAAAAAAAAAAAAAAAGGTGATTGCTGAATTTCTGTCTGTGGCTTCATCCCAAGGACCTCCTGCCATTTACCTAGGGATTCTATGCTTCCTTCACATTGTCTGTTACCACGGTCTTGCCGAATTTCCACCTTACCCTCTTGTTTCTTCTGGGCTTGGTTTGCTTTCTGGGAAACTTTAAATTCTGCCACATTAAACATCACCTTCCCCTCTACACCGTCTCACCCTCTTTCACTTTCTTAGACATCCCTCCACTGCCCTTCTTAGTCCTATCCAGTTGGTTTATTCGCATGAGCTAAATGGTGGTGGAGTCTTACACGGTCACTGTTCATGAGCACAGTCACGACACACCCTCGTGGTGATGTCCACAGCAGCTTGTTAAGCAGAGCCCTGGAAGAATAGGAATATCAAGTGGGATCTGAGAAAGTGGCCCTTTGGTGACAGAAGACTCATTGTCACTGAAGAGGCAGTGTCTATGCAAAATGCCTTCCTGAAATACTGGCCAAATCCTTTCTTGGCTTCAGTGACCTGGGCTGAGAGGAGGCATGACATCCCTAGCGCCTTGTTTTCTGAGCTTATTTCAAACATGGGGTTGATAATGTTTACCTTGTGTGTTAAATAAGACAGTTGTGAAGCACTGACCTGCCATGTAGAATGTAGGATGTGACCAAAGCCTATAACCTTTGTTCTCATTTGTATGAGTTCTCCATTGCTGAGTAATAAATCACTACAGACTAAGCAGAATGAAGCCACATGTATTTATTATCTTACAATTTCTATAGATAACAAGTCTGGGCACAGCATTGTTGGGTCCCTTGCTCCAGGTATCACAGAGCTGAAACCAAGTGGTGGCTGGGTTGTGCCCTCTTCTGGAGCTTAGGGTCCTCTTGTAAATTCATTCAGGTTGATGGCAGAATTCCTGTCCTTGAGGTTGTAGGACTGAAGTCCTGGTTTCGTTGCTGACTGGCTGGGGGTTGCACCCAACTCTTGGAGATCACCCTTAGTCCTAGCTCTCTTCTTCAAGCCAGCAGGAGAGCCCCCGGTCTGCTACAGCCGTCTTACGCAACATACCACCTTATGTAATGTTCCGTAATCATGGGAGTGGCCGTCCCATCATATTCACAGGACCCTCCACACTTAAGATCACGCAGGCCATGTACCCTGGGGGGGGGGGGCAGGAATCTGGGGCCCTCTTTGAATTCTCTCTACCATATTATCACATTTATCGTGAATCCAACATAGTTGCTAAGGACGCTTGTCTTTGCAAGTTCATGATTGGAAACAGTCCCATCTCCTTTTGTTTACAATTAATTGTCTGAACTCCCCATAAGCTAAAAGGGAGAAGTCCATATATCCCTTGAGCGCTCCCCCGCTCCCTCTACACACATGCACACGCGCCCGCACACACCAGGGAGTTACTGTGGACAGTGCTGTACATGGTGTTAGCAGATGATGCTGTTCATGCACTGCTGGTGCAGCCCTGGCCTAGACTCCCTGGCTGCCCTACACCGGGCATTTCAGTTTGTCTTTCAGTCTGTGCTTAGCCTTCCTCTCCACAGTGCAGCTGGAGAGCCAGCAGACCAGCCTCCCTGGAGCCAGCTCTCCTCTCGCAGCACTGAGGCCCTTGCGCTGGCCCACGTCATAGCCAGGCTGGATCTCTGAGTGGTCAGATGTCACCCTCTCAGTGAGTCATCCCCGACACCTGGTCTTAAATTGTATCATCCACCACTCCCTCCCCCGAGCTATTGATTGATCCGCCAGCTTCTGCTTTATTTTTCACCGTAGTGGAACTTACTGCCATCTAACCCAGTTCACGTTTTTCTGGCTTGTTGTTTGTCTCCCTCTTCTAGAAAGAAAGCTCCTCCATGGCAGGGACTTCTGTCTGGGTTTTCATTGCTCCACCCCCAGGACCCAGCACAGGCCGAGTTCAGAGTGGCATTTCAGTGACTTTTTGTTAGATGCATGGGTTGTGGGAACCAGTAGCGTTTTTAAGCGCACATTTCAGTGCTCTGCTAGATCTTGGCTGGTTAAGTCAAGTTAAGCAGATTAGCTTGTGTTACCAGCTTTTTGGAGCATCTCGTCAAAATCATGAGATGTTCATGGACTGTGGGAGGAATGGGCGGGAAACTTCTGATCATGTGGAGAAGTATGTGTGTGTGTGTGTGTGTGTGTGTGTCTGTGTGTGTGTGTGTGTCTGTGTGTGTGTGATGGCAGTGGTTCAGTGGGGGTCTCTCAGCTCAATTTGTCCTTGAAATGATAGAGGATTTAGCAGAGATTGGGTGCTGGGTGTTTAAAGAGCTAAAGCCGTAGGAGCCAAAGAAGGAAAAGCAGCGCTGGAGCTCAGGTGTGCTGAGTTCCATTGTAACTCATAACTCTCCATCTTAACTAATGTTTTTGTTTGTTTTTTGCGGTACGCGGGCCTCTCACTGTTGTGATCTCTTGCGTTGCAGAGCACAGGCTCCGGACGCACAGGCTCAGTGGCCATGGCTCACGGGCCCAGCCGCTCCGCGGCATGTGGGATCTTCCCGGACCGGGGCACGAACCCATGTCCCCTGCATCAGCAGGCGGACTCTCAACTGCTGTGCCACCAGGGGAGCCCTTAACTAATGTTTTATAGGGAGCTATTTTCTACATATTTTTCTACATAAAACAAGTCAATTTGTACTGGAATTACCTACAAATTCAGTGTCCAAGGTCTTGGATCAAATTGTGCATTTCTCCCAACTACTTTTTTGTTTTTAAAAGAAGAAAATTGCCAGGAACCTAGATCACAATTCTGTGATCATTTAATATGATTGAGAAACAGCCTTGCCCACCCTTGCACACACCCAGTCCACTGCCACTTGGACTGAAATTGCTTTAGTGAAAGTGTCTCTGTGAAAACCAAAGTGCAGACATTTTCACAGCTCCTCTCTTTTCATAAAGAAGGCGGGGCTGGGGAAGAGTGGGAATATTGAAGGAGGCCAAAATAACCGCTTGGAGCCTGGACCCTGCTCTGGACCTGTCCTCGGAGGGTGAGGGCCTTTCTCAGGGATCTTCTGGGGGAGGAAGGGTGCTGAGTGCTGTGATTGTCAGCATCGCGGTGGCAGGACAGGTGTGAGGAGCCATGGCCCTTGTCAGCACTTCACACGAGGATGCTGGCCTTCAGACTTAAAACAGCACTGTAAGGAGGTCCTGCCCACCATCCCTTTTGCTTGTGGGGAAACTGAGGCTCACAGCGGTTGAATAACTTGCGAGAAGTCCTGCAGCTGGTAAGTGGCAAGACCAGGACTAAACCACCTGACTTGGCTGACTTCGTAACCTCTGCCCTTAACCTCGCTGGCCTTGTCGGTACAGATACCCATCTTCTGACGGGGGTCAGCGCTGAGCAGGGTCTACAGCGCTCTGACGCTCCCCTCTTGTTTCATGCAGGTGTTTGGTCATCCAGTTACAGGACCTCCCCAGAAGGAAACCACTGTGATTCTGCCCACAGGATATGTAGCAGACAGGTGCTTTGCATGACACTGTCCCTCTCAGCGCCTTCCGTTTGGGCCACCCGTTTGGACTACCACAGCTCTGCTAGTTTCCTAAAATGCAGTGGTGGCAGTTCTGTCCTTTGCACTGAAGTCTGCCTGGACCTCCTGACTGGTCTGGCCCTTCTTCCGCAGGATGCTGACGGCCTGTGCCCTCTCTCCCGCAGATGCCGCCCTTACGAGGACTGCTGTGGCTCCAGGTGCTGTGTGCGGGCCCTTTCCATACAGAGGCTGTGGTATTTTTGGTAGGTCACGACTCTTCCTGGTCTCAGATGCTCTCCCTGCCCTCCCCCAGGACTGCCCGGTCAGTTTGTCACAGCCAAGGTGACATCACCTCCCCCTGAGGATGTGGTCTCTGGGTGGCCTCAAGAAAGCAGGTACGTTGGGGCTGGCTTCATGTCAAGCACTTCTGCTCACAGAGTCTGGAGAAAGCTCGTCCCCATTTCCACAGACTTGTGGCTCGGAAAGAAGACTTATTCTTTTGGAAGCTGACTGTACAGCAGCCTGGTCCTTCAGCGGCTCCTCCACCGATTTGTGAAATGCAGCTGAGGCCAGTTGTGTTGATCAGAGAATCAGCACATCTCGTTATAAAGTTTCCACTGCCTGGAAATCTTCCGTATTCACATCGTGTCCGCTGAGTCCTGACTTTCCAGACAGACAGCCTGCATCCTTGCCCATCTTCCAGCTCTACTGGGGGAAGTTGGAAGAGCTGTCTGGAGTCTGTAAGATTGGACCTCGGGAGAGAATGAGGGAGTAAAGCTGACAGAGTCCTAAAAGGATAGGATGCAGAGTTCCCACTAAGGAGAGGAACCTCCCGTGAGTTGCCACCCTCAGAGGATGCCTGTTTGGAGGTTTGTCTGAAGATTCATTTGACTCTGTAGATAAGAGATAGGCTTCAGATGACAGAGATGGCAGAGTATGTGTGGGAAAGGATTTGCCTAAAACCAAAAGAGCATTTCCTGTGCCTGCCACGCTCTCCTCTGCACCACTGCAGAGGTACAGTCTTTGAGGCAAACCCCGTGAAGGATCAGGACCCAGCCTTAAGGTTTAACCATCTTCATGGGTTTCAGATTCTGACATTCCTGACGTCTAAAGACTTTAGGGCCTTTCCTGAGCATGTGGCAGCAGACACTTGAATTTTTGGTGAGATTTTGCCTTTGCCTCCTGACAGCTGTTCCTGATGTTTGATTAGGGAATCAGCAGG